ATAATCCCTTACATCAGTAAGTAATGGCACCCTCCAATATAGTTTATTCTATTTGACGCACCCCGGAATGACGGGGACCTCGGCATCCCCCGCCCTTTTGCCCAAATACAATAAGCGCCCCATGTGGCTGGGGTCCACGAAATAATACTTCTCTGACTCACCACAACGACAGAACAACCAAGGACAAGCCAAACCACGTGCTGCCAGAGTCGAACCGTTCCAGTGGGTATCGAATGACTTTGTACCATGGTTGCTCTCAGCGTGCGTATCCACCTTTCTTCTCTTTATGCGACACAAACTTGCAGCCATACATGTTGTCTGGGGGATTGGCTTTTGTTCAAAAAACGCCAAGTTGGCAGAAACGACGCTCATCATATCATATGATCATTCGTATCGAAGGAACTCGATCTAAATCAGGGGCGCTTTTGCACGAAAACATCGTCAGTTGGACGCGAGTTAATGTGTATGAGGGAACGGTATCGGCTTTGAACGATAACGGCGAGCAAGTAAGGGTGGTTTGTTTCGATCCGTTGCTTAATAGAGGTTGAAGTTTGATGCGTCCGGCCTAAAGCTGTTATCTATGAGCCGTGTTCAGTTCTTCATTTAGCAGTTATGCTCCAGCCCTGCAGGTCTCGTTACTTTTCTTTATCGTCTAGACTGGCGCATGCATACTCTGATGATTCTAGTGTACGCTGCCATTGTATACTAAGATCTAGGGCTGGGTGGATGGCGGTGTATCTCACGTTTGTGCCACGTGCTTTGATCTGCGCTTGGCATAATCGGGCTGCAGGAACAACCTTGATCCAAATGCGTCGTTGCACTTAATTCTCTGAATTGATGGAGAGTATTGGGCCAGGGACGCCTTTGTTAATGCAGGCGCCGTTTATGCGACCGATGAGTTCGCCGAGCCGTAGATGGTCGCCCACCTTTGGACCAAACGTATAAAGTCCTGCTTGATCGTCCGCCCCAACTGACCACCTCATCCTGCACCACATCCGCATTCGTATTCTCTCCTACAGCACATTTTCTAGACCGCATCCAGTCAACCCTACATTCCCTATCTCACTATCACACACACTCATACAATGGACGCATTCCTCACCTCATTCTTCTCCGCTGGCTCGGCTGAAGACCAAACCTTGTACGACGAAGAGAAGGGCACTGGAGGAGCCGGCTTTTGCGTCATCGCATAAACGTGAGTTCCCTCTCACCAGCCACGACATGCTCTTTCCGAATTCTAATAAGCTGTCTCCGTGTATTTTGCCAGTTTGCTTGCAGAAGCGTCGCAACTCCGCACAGGAGCCGACTTCTTTGCCTTATAAATTATTCCGGTATGTCCATCCCCTTGCCTCCGGTGCTTTACTGATGGGTAAGATTAGCTTATTCTTGTGCAGTCGGTCTTGGTGACATCTGGTCTTAGTTTTGTATACCCGTACTGGTTAAGAAAAACAGGCGTCATTCGTTGTCTTGATCGTGTCTCCGTTCGCTCTCTATAAGATAATTGCGGTTACCGTGATAGGTCCTCAAAACCGTCCTCGACCAGCGAGGGTCGTGAGGTCGTCTATATACCCAGCAAGAGCCGTGAATGGCAACCGGTAGCCTCGAAACCCCATGCCACGTAAATTTACCATGTATTGGGTTGAAAAGAACAGTAACTTTGCGGGATGATATGGTGGGGCACAGCTTCGCTCCATGGCAAAGTGATTATAGTCGGGATGGCATCTGCAATACCCCGGCTGTATTATCACTCGAGCAATGGGTGGGTCTAGCGAAATCGTAATAGTGGACGTCGGTCGGTACTGTCGACGCCGTTTGCTTGGCGGGGGGTGCAATCAATCTTGAAGCCATATGATTTTAGCAGCCGGTAAACACAGTTGGACGGTAATTTCAACAAGTAATGGTACATACTATTGATATCTTGCTATTCCTTACTGGTCTTCGTGCAGGATCTTCGCTTTGAGATCTGATGAGGCCCCGCCGATCGGTAACGATAAGTTGGAATGCAGCATCTGTTCGCGGTACGAGTAATGGTAAGATTTTCTGGCAGTGTGGCGAATGGCTTCATAGCAAATCTTGCCCCGAACCTCGTGCTCGGAGTGCATCGCTATCCGACAAAATATTCTATTGTTACAACGCACCGTTTATCGCATTCAATCGCGAAACTACCCGACGATTGAGAGATGGACTTGATTTCTCTTATCTTCTGTTCATATATTAGACGAGCAAGGACGATTATGCGAAAGAAAACCTTGTCGAAAAGAGTCGTATACCGACCGTACCACCCACCTCCACACCCGGGGCAGCCCGCGGGTTACCCCATTCGCAAAACACCCAGTAACGACGAGATCCGGTGAAAGTAACGGCAGGTACGAGGTCCTGACTGTGGGGCGGGGCTGAAACCGAAACGTATTGCCTATTGAGCGCATCGGCATATCTCGGAGCATTAGAATTCATGACCCAGACCTCAATCTCGCGGCGAATATCAATAATAATGCCCACTAATTATCGACTATTCTCTCATTTAGACTTCCTGAACGCGATGTGATCATAAGAAGGCGATACAGCAAGCGATGGTGCTTAGCGAAACCACTTCATTCCATTGAACGCTTGAAGTCTTGCCGGGGCGACAATTCATTCGAGGCTCGCATTACCGATGCATACTACATGACAGGTGAGCGGCACCGATTCGAGGGGCTCGCTTCAAGGTTTACGCGTTGGATGTCAAGCTGAGGGCCCAAGCTTCACCGCACAGAGCGAGGTCCCGATGGTATAATTAGTGTTCAAACCCATGTTGGGCTGGACTCCACCCACTCACATATCTCACTTCCCTTCATTCCCGCCCACAGACCTCCTTCTCCAAAAGTTTGATCAGGTCACCTCATCCTCAACGCCTCCACTCAATTCCACCGTCTTTCCCCCTTGTATCATAATGCGGATCTCTTCAATCGTCACCCTCGCGTTGGTCGCTACGGCACTTGCCTCTCCTGTCCTGCACCTACAGAAGTCGGCCTCTACGCTGTAAGTGGTGGCCGAGATTTATGAGGCCCCACTAGCTGACTGGATTGGATATACCTTCGTCGTAGGGGGAGGCGAGCACCGATGCAGAACTCAAATGACGACCGCGAAGATAAGAAGGAGGAGGCGAAAGCCGGAATCATCGCCTCCGGCGAAGCCTTGGAAAACACCTCCGCCGAACAGAATCACGAGGACCCGACCAAAGAACTGCACCGTGTCATGGGGGTATTGACGGCGAGCCATCGTCCCAAGGAGAAGATGACAGCTGTTGCCGCGGATTGCCAAGCTTTTGACAAGGGTTTGGATGACTGGCGTGACGAGTTTCATGCTCAAGGGAAACCGTAGAGCAAGGCGTCCCTGGACCGTTTGAACGAGCTCTATCACATGGTGACAAACAGAATCCTACCGCAATTCGACGAGCTCGCCGAAGCATGTGGAGGGCTGGGAAGAGTGGGGATACCGCTGGATTTTTGGATTGAACGGAGTGACGTTGAACGGGCCAGGATTTGGCTTGAGGAGAGGCTCAACTCTGCAATTGAGGAAGGCCCTGACCCCGATGATCGTCCCGTACTTCCATGATCCGGTGGACATATAGCAGCATTGCAATAATATAATGGTCGAGTTCTTCTTTGATCTAGCGAAGTAAAACTGGTCACTTTGTCTCGATTTCTGGATAACGTCTAATGAAAATGGACGGCCTTTGTGTTAGATAAGGATCCAAGAGACCAGAGAAAAAGGTGTCGATTTAACCTCGCCACCCAACCCTTGCTGGATGGGGCCAGCACCGTCCCCACTGCAAGCACTTAGCCATTTGATGAATCTTCATAAAACGAGCGGCAGCAAATAGTCTTAAGTTGGGGGTTGGCTGTTAGCTACGAACGCCTGATCGTGTCCACCGATATGAGTAGTCCACTTCTATCTTGTGTGCACTTTCAAAATTCTCTCGCGACCCAAAAGGTCCTCTCGTATGAGATCCCAGAAGGAGAATACAGACGCGAAGATGCATCAGCGACGGTGGGACAGAGCGTGCGTGGTAGGATCTGCAACACCTTCTGGAGCTGGAGGGACTAAGAGTCCACGCGACACTCTACGTAAACCACAGTTCCACTTCAACTACTCACGATGAAAGTAAGATTAAAAATTAAAAGGGTTGTGCCAGTGGGGAGGATGGTTGGCGTGTCACTGTTTCGCCATAGTCAACGATATAGCGCAGATTATCATCCCATATTGAGCTAGCGATTTTTTTTGCTTCCTTTGAATCTCGAGATGACGGTGTGGTTCGTCTCGAAAGGTGGTATGTAGGAGGAGGTCAAACTAGCCCATAAGCTGATGGATGTGTTCTTAAAGCGAACTAGATAATACCTTGTCCCTTTGCCACCAGATCTATGATTTACGTATTGGGGTTATTGACTAGGTCCTCAAGCAGCGTCGGTATCTGATTGAAGTGACGACGACATCACTGGTGGGGCTTCGCACACCCAGTACAGTTGGTCTGGAGGATCTTCATTATCCATAGCGGGGACAGTATCCAGACCTGGGGGGAGGAGCTAGAGCGGGTTGATTATCTGCATATTCGTAGTGTATTGAGGCGGGATGTACGAAGGGACTATCTCTGGTTAAGGTCCTCATCCAGACGATAGCAGCACATAGCGGGGAGGACCTTGATGGAACATCTAAAGGCATTGACTTGTAGATTGTACTTCATCCATTAGCCGCGAAAACTAAGGGAGGGGCGCGGCCTGAATAATTGTAACGGTTACGCGTCACTGGAGTTCAAGCCTTAGGCATCGGCACACCTTGGTATTGTCCCCTCTCCCGATGAGATGTACAGCGTCCTCATGCAATCAAAAGACGATTTTGTGTCTGTAAAACGAAGTATACAACCTGCTCCGGATGGTCACCTCATTGGCTTGCATCAACGCCGCTTAGCGTCTTTGTGCACAGCACACAGAGCTTGAAGTTTCAAATTAAATGAGCAAAAGAAATGACCTCAGCGTGAATCGAACACGCGTCTGCTCGGTATCATTGCCTGATGATCCACAACGAGCTGCTCTAACCACTAAGCGATGAAGTCTTCCGCGAAAAGAAGCATGGATGCATAAATTTGTAGAGCACATTGGTACTCAGGGTTGATCAGGCGTACTACAGATACACTGCATGATGTGTAAAGCGACGCCATAAAATGAAATTTGCAACGCAAAAGGTACATTGGAAGAGGAGAGCGAAGATACACAATACTATCATAAAACAAAAGAAGATCACTCGTCGTCCTCGTCCTCGTCCGCTGCCTCTGCTCCAGCATTGGCCTTGAACGCGGCGATCTTGTCGTTGATGGCACTCTTCCGCTCGGCATGTGTGCGACGGTGGACTTTGTGCTTGAGAGACTCTTCCTTCCAGTTCTTTTCCTTTTCGGATGGTTCGAACTTTGGGTTCTCCCGAATGGCGGCGTATGCGTTGGTATACATCTCCTCCATGTCCTCTGACCCGACGTCGTCCGCAAGGTACGAAGCGAACTGTTTCTTAAACCTGAGATACATCAAGAGAAGACGATTCAGCTATGCGGATCTAGGATAAGGTATATGTACAACACGTACCGCTCGTCATCTTCCTCCTCCAACGACTCCATGTACTCTGCAACGTGACCACCATAGATGTATTTCTTGAGGACCTCAGCGTCGAGGGCCTTGCCTTCTGGGTCGTAGCCAGGGAAACGCTTCTCAGAGTGGGGAATGAAGAGACCTCCGTCGCTCGCGCCCTTCATCGCGCCGAAAACACGGGAGCCAGTCGATGTGCGCTTGAGACCAACGTCGAGGAAGCACTTGAACGGCCGCTTGGCATCATCGCCCTCCAATGCCTCTGTAATGACCAATTCACCCGTTGGCTCCTTCACACCTTCGTACTTGTCAGCGAGGCCGATCTTGTCAAGGCAGCGCCGCGCCACGAGAAGACCTGTTGCGTATGCTGTTAGAAAGATATAGAGAGTTAGGCGCAATACCCATGTATCCGTCGAGAGGGTATGTATGCTGTACCGGCAGTCCAATTGGTAAGGCCATGGCTGATACCGTATTTTGGAAGCTCCCGTGAGTTGGCTGCACAGAAGACAAAGTCGCCCTGGATGCGTGCGTAGACGATCTGACAGGTGACGTTCTTGTTGGAGAAGCGGACGACGAGCCGGTATTTTGGTGCGTTGCTACATGGGTTCAACGTTAGATCTCATTTGGCATTCTAAAGATACTTTGAAGGAGTACTTTTGACTCACTATTTGGTCTTGGATTGTGTCACAAGCCGTCTCCGGGCATAGTAGTCGGTCTTGCCCTCTCTCCTCCGTCGGTATTTCACCTGGTATCGAGAGAAGTAGGCGGTGGTTTTGGCGTTCTTGATGTACTGGGAAAGAAAATATATCGGTGTGTGGGTCTATGACTAGGATTCTGTACTTACAGGCATATCGGCAACAACGAGCTCGAGAACGATTCTGATACCGCCCAATACTTACTTTTTGATGATAGACTGGTCCGTGGGAGCTCAGCGGCGACCGTAACGTGGGATCCATACAGGCCCATCATTCCCAACCACCACACCTCGTTGCACTGCCCATACTTATACTACTCAGTAACGATGGCCGATAACAATCCATATACGAACCCGTACTATCAACAGTATTCAGCCTCAGCAGCATCTGGCTCGTCTAATCCTTATGCCTCAAATTACTACTCATCTGGTGGTTATGGAGGCGGAGCATCATCTTCCACGACCGCTCTCCAGCCCGCTAACGCTTACGAATATGACGTTGGAGTTGCAGCCCAGCAGAGCGCATATGTTCCTGGAGCAAACGCTGGGAAAGCCGGAGGTGCTGGAGGAGTTGTTCCGAAGGGGACTAAGCGGAAGACGGTGTTACGCAAGGGAGGAGGGAAGCTGTGGGAGGATCAGACGCTCCTTGAGTGGGACGACAGTGAGTCTCGCAACTTAAAACGCTTGACGTATGTGTAGATTGCTGATCCCACCTTGTCCAACCCCTTTAGAATGGTTCAGGTTGTTTGTGGGTGATGTCAGCAACGATGTGACAGACGAGATCCTTTCCAATGCGTTTTCCAAATACCCAACCTTTACACGAGCTCGTGTGATCCGGGACAAGCTTAGTGCTAAGGTGAGCCTTGCACATTCATAATGAGTATCGTTTGCCCAACCTTTCAAAAATCTGACAATTATATTGGTTTCTCAACCTTATCACAGGCCAAGTATGGGTTTGTCGCTTTCTCAGATCCTGAAGACTTCCTAAAGGCCTGGAAAGAGATGGATGGTACGTCTTTGAAAAAATTACCTCGCCACGTTCACCAGTTTTGTCTGACTTCCGTTTTCACATTTTGCAGGCAAGTATGTTGGCAATCGTCCGATCAGACTTAAGAAGGCTGAAAACTCCATTCACTCCGTCGACATCGGACACAACAAGGCAAAGCAGCTTGCCAAGAGCAGGGGTGACAAGAGGCAGAGGCCTTATTAGAAAGGGTGATTGGACTACACGTGTACGTGTCCACATGTTGCGATTTGGTGGCGGAAAAGTCGATGTTAACCGTCCACGACCCCCGTTTTCACGGCCGTTCTATGCGAGGTGTACCGTCTGTTGGTTTTGGGAGGTCCTGGCTCGTAGTCTATATAAATACTTGTACGTCGGGATCCATCTTACTACGATACAGACCCCTTCCGTAACACTGCATGAGCACAACATTTATTGTGCGTTGCAACTGGATCAATGAGCCCCTACATATTCCTACCCACTTCATTGAGTTCCACGTCATATGAGTATTGGTGAGGAATGAACTCCGTTACAATGCGCCGATACTGGCCACATTCGATACCTTCCAAGCAACAGACATTGAGCAAATCATTTCATTCACGCCAAGGCAGAGCCGCAACGGCGAAGAAAAAGTCGCGTCACCCTCTTGAATGTCATTCAAACGAACAAAGTGTCACTTTCTATCTTGCCTCGCTTGATTCAAGATTGCACAGATTCTTAACTCAGTGATATCCATAGCTCATTAAACTCAGTGAGAACAGAAAGGTGTTCTCATTTTGGGAATGGGTAAGTACAACGAACACAAACCTGTCTAAGCGGGTTGGCTCGTCAGAACCTACAGAGAAAACAGCGACCCTCTCCCTCTATCACGATGACCACCTGTCTAATAATAGTGCACCTATGCATTAAGTGGTTCGTCAGCATTGAAGATTCAAGCACCTGTCATCTGAACCTCTTTTGAAACTTACCTCCTCACGCTCCCGACCCCTCATGTATGGTGGCTCGGTGCCCTTGTAGTAGATGTCGGCCCAGAGATCCTTGGCGAGTGGCTCAGGTGACTCCTTAGCCTCTGCAACGGCGGCATCGACCTCAGTCTTGGCGTTCTTATCAATCGCCTAATGGAACAAATGAAGGTGTCAACAACTAAACCAAAGAGAGCGCAGCTAGAACTGTCTAGGGATAAGAGCTCACCTTAAGCTCCTCCTCAGAGGCGACGCCCCACTCCTCAAGATACCGCTGGAGCCCCTTGATGGGATCCTGTGTGCTCCGCATGCGCTGGATCTCCTCACGCGTACGGTAAGTGGTTCCAGGGTCGGACATGGAGTGGCCACCATATCGGTAGGTCACAAACTCGAGGAGAAGGGGTCCCTTGTCGGCTGTAACCCAATCCCTAGCGTACTTGACGGCCTGGTGGGAGGCGATGATGTCCATGCCGTTCACCTGGAGACCAGGGATGACGTCTCCACGCTTGAAGTACTCAGTATTCATGGAGCTTCGCTTGTCAGAAGTTCCCATCCCGTATTTGTTGTTCTCGCACACGAAGACACAAGGCAGGTTCCACAACTTAGCCTAGTGAAGAGGTCCAGAATATAAGTATCACACTTTATCAAAGTAACGGCATAATAACAGCAATCTTACCATGTTGTACGCCTCGAAAACCTGACCCTGATTGCTTGCACCATCTCCGTACAGCGCGAAGGTCGCCGTCTTTTTGCCAAGGTACTTCTGGGCTAAGGCGATACCAGCACCAACGGGCACCTGCGCGCCAACAATACCGTTTCCACCGAAGAATGAAGGGGTGAAGATGTGCATGGATCCACCCTTGCCATTAGACATCCCAAGTTGACGGCCGAGGAGCTCACCGATGACACCCTTGATAGTCCCACCACGGAGGACCGCGAAAGGATGGCATCGGTACGCGGTAATGACACGGTCGTCGGGCGTGATGGCAGATTCCATGCCCACTGAGACCGCTTCCTAGATTGCACACGCAAGAATCCCACCCAATAAATCGGGTCAGTTCAGATCGCAACTTTTGGTCACAACGAGAACGTAAAACACACACCTGGCCGATAGCCAAATGACAGAATCCTCTGATGAGCTTGGCCTTGTACAGAGCATCAGCAGCCATCTCCATCCTGCGCATCGTGGTCATCTTAGTGTACATGTCAATGAGCATCTCCTTCGTGACCTCAACGTCTAAGTTGGGCATGTCGCAGTTGTGGGAGTGGAAGGACTGCTCATGTAGTGTGAGGTTAAATGGCTGGGACTTGGAATCGGGGGCGGGTGATGGGAGAGTGGTCGTGTCGGCAGAGGTTTGTAGACCACGGACGAGCTGTAAACGCAGGCATGAGCCAAGGTCAAACGAACGATTGAATCTGCACTCACTGATGTTCTAGCCGCAAAACGCCTTGTCGTGAGCCGTGCTAATGAAGCCATGTGAAGTAGAAAACGTCGGTGGGGAGGAGTAAGAAGAGAGATGTGTTTGCCAAACGGGTGAGAGTGATGGTGGGGTCGCCGAAATTATGGGGCGAAAACCAAACATAGGGTTGATGCCTGGAAATCACCGTGGACAGCGACGGAGATGTTACTGTGCCGGCGATTCGTCGCGTCGCGTCTGCCCTCTTAGTAAACCACCAGAACCGGATGGCAGCAGCTAACACACTGAGCGCTGTCGAGGACAACCTCAAAGATGCGAGTGCAGGTTACGATTATGTCTTCGGAGACGACATCGAGAGCGCTCGTAAAATATGTGAGCTATTGCGGCCATCGCTGATCACTGC